CAACATGAATTTGGCCCAGCTCCGGGAGGCAGTAGAAGACAGGAGGGCCTGGCGTGCTCTGATCCATGGGGTCACGAAGAATCGTACACGACTAAACAAATATTAGTATTACTATACCAATCTATTATCAGCATTATTCTGGTAAAGATGGGAGAAGGAAATGCATTTAGAAGTGCCTCTCTTCAGCCATTATCCCCTTGTGTAATTATAATGGTGGAAGATGGTGGCTGTGGTCCCTGGACCTCGTCCTTCATTATCTGCTCCGTCTGCCTCTTCCAGTGTCATGACTGAGGAGTCCAGCAACGTCATGGACACAGGCTTAAAGGGCTGAGAAACTGGTGGTGCAGTTAAGAGGGAAAACCAGATCAAAATACCATTGGATTTGTGAGTCAGAATGGCCAGAGACCCCAGAGAGCCTTTAAGACTTCCACTGCTGCTATCCATGTCCCAGTCCAACACCAAAGGCCCATGACAAGGATGGAGAAATTACACGCTGCTTCATGAACACCTCAATCCTGGAACCTGGGCATTCACAATAAGTTTGCCCAGGATTAGTTTCTGGAGATGAAGAGCTGCCATGCTCCAGGCCAAAGACCTGAACTTTGAAGGAGTGGGAGATGCAGTCTTGGCGAAGCGGTGACAGGAAGATACTTACATGAAGCTCTCCCAGATGCTGCATCACATTGCCTGCTTTAGTTCCTCATAGGCTTTTAGCAATACTGGACTAGACAAGATATCCCCATCCAGTTAGAACTCTCCTGCATGAACAGCAAGGTCCATGTTTTAGATTCCCTCCCCTCGCTTGCACATGTAAAGTATTGAGTAGACAGCAAAGGGCCACCAATGAGGTGGCAACTGCTGAACTTGTTTGCTTGGACATGATTGTCAGGGGAGAACTGAAGGTGTTTAGACATTATCTTAGGAAATAAAATGTAACCCCAAATAAAGATGGGGAGCACGTGGCTTTCGGATCCTGATCAATTGCAGGTCCCATGAGCCTTCTCTACTGACTATAACAGCAACTTCGTGGGAGCTGCCCTCCAATAACATTCCCCAACCCTGCAAACTTGTGAATCTTCCTTTTGTGGACTAAAAATCCCAGAACCCACAACCAGTGTGTGCAGTGGTCTTGCTAATATCCTACCGCAGTAACATGTAGATAATGCTGGTAGCTGGAGTGTGATATAAAATGTATTTTCAGGACCTGTTTTACCTATATGGATCTTCTCATCTCATCCTACACATGTGAAAGGCTACACCTGTGTATATACAGGCGAGGCAATCCTAGTTTGTTTGGGTCAACTTAAGCTCTATTCAGGTGTTTTGAAAGGGGTTAATTTGGAAGCATGAACTGGGGGAGGGCTCTCACCCCACCCCTTGCCTGTTTCCTGTTGCCACAGGAAGAAGCCCTGTCTGTGTTTGATGGATTTAATTGAGGAAAACAAAGCACATGTGCCCCTTTGTATCTGAATTGGATAAAGGGGTGGGTTTCATGGGATTATGAGGTACAGAATGCTGCTGGTGCTCCTGCCCCAGATGTTCTGCTATGACAAGAGCTAGGCATCTTGAGAAGATTCATGCGCCAGGGGGTGCTAAATGTGTAGGCTTCCTCAATGGAAACCATCCAAGAGAGTGCACGGAGGTCTGGAGGCAGCAGTGTCATGCTCCCGATTCAGCCAATTTCTGCTTCAAAGGGAGCTAACATCCCTTTAAATAGCTTAACTGTGGCCAGATCATACCAAAAAAAGGCTTAATTAAAGAGAACACCCTGAAAATGTGAGCAATCTTGAGAACAAATATCGTTCCTGTATCTGTATATATACACACACTTAATAAAAAGCTTGCGAATATTTAAAGACAAGCTATATGCACTGCTGATCAATAATGCATTCTCTATTCAGTGTGGGTATCTCCCCAGCACATTATTTAAAATCAATTAAGATGCAGAAATATGCAGCTATGCCCAGGAGAATGAGAGATACTTTAAAATTTAAAAATACACTGGCAGAACGCCTACTCCCAAGTAGGACCACCCACCCTAAGTGGTCGTGAAAGGCAGGATGGCTGAGGATGTTGACCCCGAGAGAGACCCACAAAGCAAAAACAAGCAACTGAGCTTTCTCAGGAGTCACTCCTCAGCCGTGGAATCTGTTACCACCCACTATTTGCTTGGGCTTTTCACTGGGTATCTTCAAGAAACAGCTTATGATCTACTATCCTCCCCCCCCTCCCAAAATAAGACAGGGTTTTATATTAATTTTTGCTCCAAAAACATATTAGGGCTTATTTTCAGGGGATATTTTTATTTTACAGTCATGTCATCTTTTTCTGGTTGCTGCACAATGGTGGAGGGAAGGGTTTCACTTAACTGGGGCTTATTTGGGGGGGGGTAGGGCTTATATTACGAGCATCCTGAAAAATCATACTAGGGCTTATTTTTAGGTTAGGTCTTATTTTCAGGGAAACAGGATAGTTAAGGCTTTTCAAAACATTTCATCTATGGAACTTACCAACATGTTGCTACAGCCAAAATACTATAAAATCACTGGCCATTTAAATGTTTAGTTTTTATTCACTGTGTTGTAGTATGTGTTGTAATGGTTTGTTATTTCTTTTGTGTAAGTTGTGGATGTGTCATTTTATGATTTATGAAATAATTTGATTTTAATTGCCTTGTTTTCTATGTTGTAAACTGCCCAGAGTAGCCTTTGACTAGATGAGTGGTATAGAAATTGAATAAATAAATAATGATTAATTAATAAATACATTAGAAGTGTTTTGTGCCTCCTAGGTTTTTGTTACACTGAGGATTTTACATCTTCGTAAAAACCATAAATAAACTATGTAGCTACAGCGCAGTTCTGGGTCTACTCTCGGCAGAAAATAGTTCCAGACTAAAAGAACAGCTGAAGGCTGTTGTCTTCCTATGTACAAATATTTAAAACACATTTAATTAGTTTAAACATGACAACTTCAAATACCAAAGACGAGGAATTTTTTTATTTGCTAGTGACCAAGTTTGTTAGTTAATATCCTAACATTCCAGTCATCTCTACATCAATAGCAACTTATATCTTTAAAAAAAATCTAAAAAAGAATACATCTAAAAAATAAGATAGAGAGATTCTAGAAGGGGCCCATTGTCCACACAGACACAAACAAAAAATGTCAGTGGCTGAAATGAGTTAATACAGTACATTAAAATTCTCAAAACAATGAAAAACACGAAGTTCCCTTCATATTTTGCTTGAGAATCATGGCTGCTACAAGGTTATTCTGATGCTGCACTACTTTCTTTAAATGAGATAATTAACACGAGACTGGGGTAGGTTGCTTAGCACTGGGCCCACACGTAAGTAAAAAGCATGTCATACATATACACATTCAGAGGAATGGCTTAAAATTAAGGCCAGGTTATTGCTAACTGCAGCCAAATGATCCAGTGGGTATAACACAGTATAACCATATAAAAGCCTACAACAACATGGGTACAGGAAGTACTTGAATGATGATGTGCATGATAGTAGCATCATTCAATACAATTATTACTAAAAAGGCATTAAGCAAGAGTTTTTTTTTCTCTTAAGATGCATAAAAGGCCATGGTCAGGAGTTGACTCCTGCTGTTCTCAACTGTGCGAGGTTTTCTGGTGTGCCAGACAGATATGTTTCCTTTGGTTTGCCTAAAAAGAAGATAATAAATAATATATAATAAATATTAAAATATATATTTAGGTAGTACTGGCTAATTCAAAATAGTGTCACTTCTGATTATGGATTCATTCACATTGACCAGATTCCTACTGATTAAAAACTGCCGGTATAACTCAATCATCATTAAGTCTTGGAAGCAAATTTGCACAAGTGAAGAAGTGAGTGTAGATATTTAGGGTTGAGTGCTAGGTCGGATGACTCCATGAATATCAGCCTATGCCTTCTGGTTGTTGCACAATGGTGGAGGGCAGGGTTTCACTTAACTGGGGTTTATTTTTGGGGTAGGGCTTATATTACAAGCATCCTGAAAAAATCATACTAGGGCTTATTTTCAGGTCAGTTCTTATTTTCGGGGAAACAGGGTATCTTAAATCTCCAGGATCAGTTACTCAGAGTATATCTGCCCAGACACAGGGTAGGAGAGTGTTTGCTGTTGTTATGTGCCGACAAGTCACTTTCAACTTATGGCAATGCCATGAATGAGCACCCTCCAAAATGTCCTGTCCTCAACTGCCCTGCCCAGCTCTTGCAGACTCATGCCTGTGGCTTCCTTTAGGGAGTTGATCCATATTGTATTTGGTCCTCCTTCCTCTTTTCCTACTGCCTTCCACCTTTCCCGGGATTATTTTCTTTTCCAGAGAATCCTGCCTTCTCACAATGTGCCCAAAGTAGAACAACCTCAGTTTCAACATTTTTTGCCTCCTGGGATAGTTCAGGTTTGACTCATTTGTTCAGAAGAGTTTAGGGGAGGAGTAAGAATCAGGATACAGTAACACTGGGAGGAGAACTCTGACCTATTAGATGAATCTGGCCTGTGAAAATTCCCCTGGCTATGCTGGAGTCCAGAAAACCAACTTTCCCATCCCTGACAATTTATCCTTCCAGAAGCCTGTACATCATAACAGCAATCAATAAAACACAGATTTTGGAGAATTGTTAAAACATGGATGGGTAAAAGGCACCATATGTGGCTTGAAGACTTTTCCTGCGTTTATTTCTTTTTCGAATGAAAAAAAGGTTCCCTGTGCCTTTTACAGTATGTGGCACTTTCCCTCCAATTTATTATTATTAGTTTTGGAATCTATCAAATGTATTTTGAACTTACCGCCTGACGATAAGTAACTTAAGTTTTTCTTTGTCTGGTAGAACTATTTTCCACACCATTGCTGTCTTCCGATTTCCTGCAGAGGAGAAAGACCAGTGAGTCCTTAGGACTTATGTTCGATTTTTTACATAAAGCATAATGATTTTACTTATTTTTAGGATTGCCATCTCATTTTTAACTACTGTTCATAAACGTCCTGAGCAACCAGAGAAGAATAGGCTTAAAAAAAGTCATCAGTGGAGGTGACTCCTGCTTTCTGGCAGAAGCTGGTCCTGTTGAAGATATTTTTAGATGTAATTTTAAACCATGACTTGCCATTTTCACTACAGGAAACACACTGTGGCTTTCTTGTTCTCAGAAATACAATAACTATAGTACACAGTTACACCAATCTGATAGCGCTTTAACTGTTAAGGCTCCATCCCACATTTGGCATGACCACTGAGATTTCTCTGCTAGTGAGTCCTCATGCACTCCATTGAATGGCAACGGCAGAGCTCTTTAGCAAAAGATCCTACGTATCTCACCAAACAACAAGTCCAATGATTTATTTTATTTAAAATATTTACCCTGCCTTTCTCCTTAAAAAGGAATCCAGGCAGCTTACATCATTAAAAGACAGTACTTAAAGCTAACAACTGTGAATATACAAATACTAAGGAGGATCAAATACCACACTGAAAAAATGTTAAATAAAAGCTCCACCAAAGCACATTCAAAGCAGTAAAACCCCACTCGGGCAGCCAGGGAAAGGTTGTCTGAAGAGAAGAACTGGCCACAGAGTTAATAAATTTCCACCAAACTGATATAATTGTGTAGTGCAGATATGTCTATAGAACAAGGTAATGAGGTCTCTGTAGTCCAGATGAACAAATAAGCCTGATTTGAGGAATGCACTCTGTTCTGTATTTACTGCTTTAAAACAACCCGTCACTGTTAATTTTGAATTCTTACATGTGCTTACACATTGGTACTTAACAAAAACAGAGCATTCTCTTCTCTGTGGAAATGAACAACCACACTGCATTGTCATCCAACATCTACTAAACAACATGAGAAAATGTACTTCAGTTTTAATGGAACTGTTATTCATCTCCTATTGCTTAAACCACAAGTGAGTAACCTTTTACCCTCCTGGGATTTTTTTAACTAGAATTCGCTTAGCTCCACTCAGCATTGTGAGGGATTTGGGGACACATTGTAAAAAAAAATCTGGAGATCCAAATTTTCCTCACCCTAGTATAAATGTTATTAATACTTCACATAAACATAGAAAAATACAGGGTAACTTAATTACTTACAGTGTTTCTGCTTGTTCAAGTTCCTTCTCAACTTCTGTGAGCCAATAAATAAATAAATAAATACATCAGCATTTTTTTAAAAAAGCACTGATTAATAAAACATTCTATTTCACTGACAGCTTAAATGGAAATGTTTGTACTATCTAAAATCAACACATTTAAATGGCACATTTATTTCCAGATATGCCAATGTGAACATTAGAGGTTGGATCCAGAAGAAGAGACAAATGTTTAGCTCCACGAACTGCTGGCTAGAGAGTATTAAGGTGTTAGGGAAGTGCCTCTCCATCAGAGCTGGGAGAAAATACATGTCCATTCCAACGTAACATTAGAGGTTGGATCCAGAAGAAGAGAAATGTTTAGCCCCACGAACTGCTGGCTAGAGGGTATTAAGGTGTTAAGGAAGTGCCTCTCCATCAGAACTGGGAGAAAATACATGTCCATTTCAACGGTCTCTGGTACATTCAAAGAAATATCCATGGGCATACATCCGCCATCACTAGTGTTACCTGAAACAGTGCATACTAGGAGGAGGTTGGGAGGTGACCCTCACTCTTGTGGGTGTAATCCCCATTGCCCCAAAGTATCTCAGAATCAGCCCTATTGCCTAACTCAATGTAGAGGCGGCTTCTTTCCCACTAAAGCCAACCAAAGTGGAATCTGGGGTAGGTTGGGAAACTTCCAGACAACTTTCTGGGGAGAAATGCCACGCATATCATATGGTTGCATCTCTGATCCACTGAAATCAACGAAAGTTTCATCATGACTTGAAGGTCTCACTGATTCCAATACTGAAGACAATCAAGCGCTGCTACTCTATCACCATGAACACACCTTAACTTTTCTTATCTGAGCAGTTAAGTAGGATCATGTTTGATTAATATATGAGTTGGGAACCATCAGAAATACACCAGAGAAGATGGTTGCATCTCTGATCCACTGAAATCAACGAAAGTTTCATCATGACTTGAAGGTCTCACTGATTCCAATACTGAAGACAATCAAGCGCTGCTACTCTATCACCATGAACACACCTTAACTTTTCTTATCTGAGCAGTTAAGTAGGATCATGTTTGATTAATATATGAGTTGGGAACCATCAGAAATACACCAGAGAAGTTTGGCTATAGTTAGGAAACAATTGTGCCTTGAACTCTGGAGACTCACTGCCATTCAGAGTGTACTATACTGGGTGAGATGAATCAATAATGAGACTAGTATAAGGCAGCTTCCTATATTTGTGGACCAAGTCTTTTCAAAGGGACTTAGGTCCTGATCATGCAGCTTATGATCTTTTGCAACAAGCACACTGCAGTCTAAAATCTCTAAAGACATTCTGAATGATCATCTTGAAGCTCAATTCTAATCAACTCTAATGTGGAGTGAAGTTCCATTGAGATGGGAAACATTATTAGGTCAATTCTTTTTCGAGTTCCACCCTTCTCTTCCATACCACTGAAGTCAAAGCCACTAGTGTTGATAAATGCATTGATCATCACGTTCAAGTCACACAGGGAGTAGAATTGTACTCTCGTAAGTACACTTTATAGGATTACTACTTGGGCCATGCATACTGGGGATGACAAAGTTTGCAAACCACATGCCTTAAGGATGCAAAGCTGGGGAAGGCCCTGCCTTCTCACAATGTGCCCAAAGTAGAATTGACATTGTAGATGGTACTTGAGTAGAAGATTTATTGACATGACTTTATAAGGCAGCTTCATATATCCACAGGATGAAAGTTACTATTAATGTGGATATATATAATAATTAGTAATTATAATAATCCACATTAATATATATGTATTAATAAATTAATAATAAATTAATTTATTATGAGTTTAATAATAAAATATTAATGTGCATTTTTAAAAAAAATAAAAGGAGAGAAATTAAAATGTGGTGCTTTATATCTTACCAACTTGAACTTCTTTCTTTCTTGAGATCATTTCATAGATAAAAATAGCAGCTACTAAAATAACGACTTCAGCAGCTATGCCAAGAAATGGTTTAAGTGGAGTCATGTAGGTGAGAACAGTGAGCGACACGTTCCCTTTGCTTTCACCAACTGGAAATATAGCTTCACACCAGTAAAGTCCACTGTCTTTCTCAGACAGACTCAAGATCTTCAGTTTGGTTATGTTGGCAGGTCCCTCAATAATGAGGTATTTTTCTGGCATTAAAGTAGCATTAAGAGCAACCTGGCCCAAAAAAAAAAAAAGATCAAATTTAGTAGAGTGAAAGATGAACTCTTACATCATTAGAAAATGGAGAATCTTTTAGACCTAGGAACAATGAAAGCTGGTGAGTTCAGGGTGATTTTTTGCTCCAAAGAACACATATGAGTTTAATTTCCAGGGATTTTTTTTTCATGTACAACAATCTACATTTATTCAAAGACAGTCATGTCATCTTCTGGTTGCTGCACAATGGTGGAGGGCAGGGTTTCACTTAACTGGGGCTTATTTTGGGGGGTATTACGAGCATCCTGAAAAATCCTACTAGGGCTTATTTTCAGGTTAGGTCTTATTTTCAGGGAAACAGGGTATCTCCAAAGAAGCTCAGCACCTTGGATAGCTCCTTTAAATTTTTAACTAAACCTTGAAGTGGATTCAGAGCAGCCATACTACTGGAGTCACTTGCCTCCACAGCATGGGAATGAAACTGAATATGGAATGAAACTGCAGAAAGAAAATCCACACTTTGCAATGGATTAGGCACAGGTCAATTCAAATTAAAACCTGATGACGGTGTGAGACAAAGTTCATTGTGGAGAAATCTTTTTTCGGAATTGCCTCTTTTTAATGGAATATCACAATGGAATATCAGGCCAAAAGGATATAAAAAAATGAAAATAACAAAAACATTTTGGCACCTTAAAGACTCACTGCTATATTTTAATGTGAGTTTCCATGGTCTGAGAAAGTGGACTTGTCCACAAAAACTTCTCAAGTTGGCTGCTTGGCCATCCTAAGGACTTCCAGTTGTCCAACACTAACAAGAGTAATACTTTTCTCAGCTAAATTAGGCAGCTGAAGTGGAGAAAGTTTGGGGTACTCAAAAATGAACTTGGGGGGGTAAAGGGTCTGCCAAATTCAACTTTAAGACCACTAATAAAATGAAATAAAATAATCCTCATCTAAAAATACACTCAGACACATCCTGTTATTCATTCCTTAGGGTTTTTGTTTGTTTTGTTTTTTGGTACCTAACTCTGATCACTAGATTCTGGGGTTTAAGTTAAAAAAAATAAAGAGTTGGCAAGCCTTAAAATTTCCTACCCTACCATTAGGAGAGGCTAAAAATGCAATGAAGCAGATGTAGGGGGTTGACTAGGACCAGTTCTATATCAAACATTTGGATCACCTCTATATTAGGATGAAATAATATTTTCTCTTGCTAATGAGCAGAACTTGCCTGTTCACTTCCATTGGCTGTATGCCAAGCCCAAGATGATGGTTGATAGTGCTTTTTTTCTTCACCAACGGTACATGACAAGACAACGTAATCACCAACGTAACTTACGATTTGCTTGGATTTTATGTGTATTTCAGGCACTGAGGAAAAGAATCAGGTACCACTCATGAAATGACATATCTGTCTATAATGAACACACACTGTATTTGTCATACATAGAACTATTTATTTGACATGAATAATTTGTAGGCCCGTTTTCTTAATTCTTGCTTGTACTTGCAACCAAGCCTATGTTTGCATCTGAGTGGAGGAAATCCATTACTAGTTAACCTGCCAAGTGTATAAATAGCATCACTTTAGAAGCATCATCATCTAATAATTCTCCCCATCCATAACTTGGAATAATCTTTCTAACACAATAAAAAAGGAACCCAGTAAGTCTGATATAATTTTTTTTCTTTCAAAATGTACCCAAAACATTATGTTACTTTCACTGTAAACAAAATAGTATAAAGAAGTATATTCACTAGAAATTCTCCTTAAACACATTCCTTTCTTATAAGATAAGTGCCCCAACTCTTTCTCACAAATTTGTTGAAATACACCACATGGATGTCACTCCCCCTCTCCCAACTGGAAGCCAAGGAGACAGGGAGGAAGAAAGAGATATGCAGAAAGTCCCCAAAGACAGAAAACATAGGTTCTATTAAACAAACTGACATTTTAACATGAGAGATAAAGACTGGAAGAGCTTACAGAAAACTTAACTTTTGTTCCAGAAATACTAAACATCTATTGTATCTATTTTTGTATTCATGTAATCAGATAATCAGTATATTTCTGATGTTTGTGTAAATTTGTCACAACTCATCACAAGGCTGTAAACATATCAGTACAAGGTTGTGCCAGAACAATTCACTGTAAACATATCATCAGTACAAGGTTGTGCCAGAACAATTTGTGCACAAACTGTTCAAGAAGTTCAGACATTCAATCTTCAGATCCCTATAAAGATCTGCTTATTGTTTTATCCTATTGAGGTGAATGATTTGGGATGTCCCAGGAAATCAAACTCTATATTATATAATATCACATGTTTTGGTGGAATTGCATGGGTTGGTTGGACCTGCCAGAGAAACTGGACAACAATTTTTACAATACGTTTCCATAGCTGCTTGAACCCAAGTTTCCTGAGTCCTAATCCAATATTCTGTCCGCCATATTACAGTACCCTGGTTCATCACCAAACTGATCCAGTGTATCTGACAATTGCCACAGGTCTGTCCATTTAACACCTTAGAAGCTCTGTCTCTACAGATTTCTACTGTCTCTATAGACACTGTAAAGGTCAGAACAGTTTAAGGAAAGATTTCTATGAACGTTTAATTTTGCATATTTTTTAAGGAAGTGGGAATTGCTCTCACCTATTTTTTACCACAACCTCTTCACTTTTTTCCTTCTCCTTATGCCATTTCTCTCCCTTGCTGAGTGCTGCTATTTCCCCCACACACGCACACACTTTGTGATTAAACATCAATATTAAAGTCATACCCAGCACTTCCAAAATAATTCTACATGCTGGTTAAGACCTTAAAACTCCTAAAAAGCTCTGGTCCAGCTATCAGAAGGTTTGCATTTCCCTGACGCATCTCTGCAGGTTTCCACCTCTCCAAGGAAGACCCTTCTCTCAGTCCCACTGTCCCCCACTTGCCCAAGGGAAGACTTAAGAAAGGGCCATTTCTGTAGCTGCTGTCAGACAAAGGAACTCCTTTCCACAGGATGGTAGATTTTATTTAATTTTATACCTTTAAATAAATTTTATACTATCCATCTGGCAACTGAGGCCACTCCGGGGGATTCACAACATGGTAAAACAACAAATAATACTTTAAAGAAAAAGACTATATATAGTAACAATATGGGACATCAAATTAAAAATATCAATCTACATAAATAAAATATAAAAATGATTATTTTTTAACAATCAATGGAATTTTTTAAACAATAGACCCCCTTAATCTACTGTCCCTTCCAGCAGGTTAATTGTTTTCTCTTCAGCAAGCTTTGGGCAAGTGAATGGGCTCCAGAATTATACACTGATAAATTTGGCCAGGAACGACACTGCATTCCTTCTCAAAATGAGAGTCAGAAGACCTTGCTCGACATAAAAGGAACAACCATCCTCAGTGAGTGCAAAAGCCATCATGGCGTAGTGGTTAGAGTCTTGGCCTACAGCTTGGGAGTCAAACCATGCTATTCAATAGGTGACATTCATCTAAACTCTTTTTCTCAGCCTGACTTACATATCTCAAAGAACTGTTGTTGTGATCAACATGAGCCATGAATATTGTCTTCAACTGATTATAGAAAAACGGAAATTCCAGTGGTGCCTTGCTTTACGATTGCCTCTCATTACAATGACGTTTTTGCAATCGCAAAACAATTGTCTGAATAGGGTTTTTTTGCTTTGCGATGATCGGTTCCCTGCTTCGGGAACCAATTCTTCGCAAAACAACGATTTTTCCTACAGCTGATTGGCAGTTTCAAAATGGCCACCAGGTAAATAAAATGGCTCCCCACTGTTTTCTGGGATGGATTCCTCGCAAGACAGCCACCGAAAATGGCCGCCCTATGGAGGATCTTCGCTGGACGGTGAGTTTCCAGCCCATTGGAACACATTGAAGGGGTTTCCATGCATTTCAATGGGCTTTTAATTTTCGCATTACAATGTTTCTGTTCTACAGCGATTTCTCTGGAACGAATTAACATCGTAATGTGAAGCACCACAGTAATACTTATAAACTGATATTGTAACTTGTAACTTCGTAGCTTGTAAGTCGCCAAGAGTAGTGCATATACTAATGAGGTGGTATATAAATCCATCAACCATACAAACAAACATGAGCCAGACTGTCTGCATAAACAATCAATCACAATTGTGTTACCTTCCTCCTGCAGAAAGAAAGGAAGTAGGGATAATCCTGCAAGCTGGATTTCCAACAAACTGAACATTCACACAGATGGTCAAGTTCCAGAGCTTAGGAAGTGAAGTATGTTTTTGCCTTTCCACTCCCAGAATCCCCCATATAGCATGGCCAATGCCCATTTTACATTTGGGATTGTCTATATGCTGTTGAAATAGAGTGGGTTTCTGACAATCTTCCACTTGCCATTGTAGCATTTGCTGTGAAACAAATGACGCGGGAAGCAACTGGGGGTGAGTGGGATCAAAATCAGGTTAAATGAAGGGGATGGCATGCCTTTTTTAGTATTAAAAAAGCTAAAGACCAAAAATTCTTCAATAATCATAAGAAAATCTTTGTTATGGTTTTAGAATAAGATACAAAAGCAAATGTATCACAAAATTCTGGGGTGGGGTGTCACCGTTAGAATCATTAATACAGCCAGCCTTAATGGGCTCAACAAAACTTCATAGGTATCAAGAACTGCTAAAGAAAGACAGGGTGTTAAAGTCTAGAGAGGAGTTAGAGGAACAGAAGGTCTTTCAAGATTGGTGGATGATATTACAATTAGACTCGAGATACATAAGAGCTAAACCAATGGGCTTTTATGAAGAACAAACTTTTAATAAATTACTGCAAACGATAAAATAAGAATCTCTTAAATATGAAAATAGAAGATGAAGTGGTTAAAATGGGTGCAAAATATTGGTCATAATATTGATCTAGATCATTGGACACAAATTTGGCAAATATTAAGTTTGCACAATCTGTAAATTGCAAAGAAAATGTATATAAGAAGTTTTCTAGATGGCATATGACTCCAACAAAACTTTCTAAAATGCATGGAAAACGTTTCTAACAAGTGTTGGAAATGTAAAATACAAGACAGAAATGTAAAATACAATACATGTTTGGTGGACATGTAGGGAAGCAAAAAATTACTGGGGATTAGTGCATGAAATGTTGAAAAAAAATTTGGGTTGCCTTCAGCATTCTCAGGCTTTCCTGCTCTAAATGATTAAAAAAAACATTTGAAAGGTCCCCAAGTCACAAATTGCAGGCTGAAACAGAGTGGCAGCACTACATTTCTCACCTTTATCAATATTTTCTATTTTTAAAAAACAGAAAAGCTGTGCTTTTTTCGTTCCTTTCCAGAGTCCCACAACTGCATCCATGTTCCAGCTCTGCCTTGCTTCAATTTATAAAACTATATTGTACTGCACAAAGCTATAGTTATTCTAGTAGCGATGTATGGAAGCGAGAGCTGGACCATAAAGAAGGCTGACTGCCGAAGTATTGATGCTTTTGAATTGTGGTGCTGGAGGAGACTCTTGAGAGTCCCCTGGACTGCAAGGAGAACAAACCTATCCATTTTGAAGGAAATCAACCCTGAGTGCTCACTTGAAGGGCAGATCCTGAATCGGAGGCTCCAATACTTTGGCCATCTCATCAGAAGACTCCCTGGAAAAGCCCCTGATGTTGGGAAAGTGAAGGCAAGAGGAGAAGGTGACGACAGAGGACGAGATGGTTGGACAGTGTCATCGAAGCGACCAACATGAATTTGTCCAAACTCCGGGAGGCAGTGGAAAACAGGAGGGCCTGGTGTGCTCTAGTCCATGGGGTCACAAAGAGTCGGACATGACTTAATGACTAAACAACATTGTTCTGCACAAAAAGGAACATTTACATCTATAAGCAATTTCACCCAGATAACTAACAAAATTTAATTACAGCATTTTAGTATTTAGAAAATCCATAAAGAAGGAAAACTCTTGAACTCTTACCTTGTAAATGAAATATAGCACTGATTTCTGGCTCAGTTTTAAAAACACAAGCGTAATTCTTTATGTCGTCTTTGTTTATGAAGGATTAGTTTCTGGAGATGAAGAGCTGCCATTCTCTAGGCCAAAGACTGGAACTTTGAAGGAGTAGGAGATGCAATCTTGGCGAAGCGACCAACATGAATTTGTCCAAACTCCGGGAGGCAGTGGAAGACAGGAGGGCCTGGTGTGCTCTGGTCCATGTGGGGTCACAAAGAGTTGGACATGACTTAACGACTAAACAAAATTGTTCTGCACAAAACAAGCAATGTCACCCAAATAACTAACAAAATTTAATTACAGCATTTTAGTATTTAGAAAATCCATAAAGAAGGAAAACTCTTGAACTCTTACCTTGTAAATGAAATATAGCACTGATTTCTGGCTCAGTTTTAAAAACACAAGCGTAATTCTTTATGTCGTCTTTGTTTATGACATTTATCCTGAAAAGAATACTTCAATAATTAATACTATACAATTGTGGGTTGATCAGATGATCATATGCAAAATTGAACTATTTTACTAAGTAAAAATGGAAAATAATTGCATAGCAATATGAAAGCAAATTTGCTACAATAGTGATATTCCAAATTCATGGAGGCACAACATCCTCTAAAAGGGGTACAATGTGAGGCTAGTTCAAATTGACAGTGTAATTAGTTGAGGGCTGAAATATTTTATGAAATGGGTAATCAAAAATCAGATATTATAGGTCAAATTTTCATTGTATGGAGACATACATCTTCCATTAAAATGTTGAAGTCCACCATGACTACCCCGATACAGCAAACAATGTGGACACATGATGGTGTCATGATGGTTGCCACAGCACTGGCTATCAATAGTGTTAAATATCATTATTATTCAAATAAAGAAAATTGCAATGACATTTGGCACCAAGACAGCCTTCAGCACCAGCACTGGTAGAATAAGATAGGAAAGTCTGCCTTGGTATTTGGGCTCCTGTCTATCTGTTTAATGTCTCTCTTTTGATATTCTGTGATGTGGACCGAGAGCTCTAAATGTTACAATTTTTTAAGGAACTCACTAAGTGACTCATTAGATCTTGGGAACCTGGTCAATGTTATAATTAAAGCATGGATTGTGTAATTGTATAGTTTGTTTTTGTACTTATTAATGCTTTATCAGATTTGTATTTTTAGGTATCTTTTTCTTGTTTTTTTTTTTTTTGCTTTTTTCATTTTTTTTAAATTATTGGTGCTCTGATCATGGAAGAGATTAGTTGCACTATGCACTATTATAAAACACTGTGTGGTCCTTACCAACCAGGTAGCAAATACAAAGAAATGCTCCCCAGTTCCTTCTAGTAACTATTAGGTATTGCACCAGGTTAGTATTACCAAAGTACAAAAGACATAACTGAAAAGTGCTGCTGATGTCACTTAGAATTGATAAGAGAATGGTATAAAACTTGAAAAAACACTGCCAACATGTCTTGAATCAAATATCAATCAAATGCCTTAAAGTGTCATTAAATGTAACATACTAAAGTAAAAAGGGACAGGATCCTCTTGCTGTAGATGCTTATGGACTGTCTCATCATTTGGCTGGTCTTTCTCAGGTAGCGCAGTCAATCACAGACATGCTCAAGTCACTGGATGCCCAGGAAATGAGCAATCAAGTGTCTGATTGCCTTGCATGTGCTTTTTCCATTGGATTTTGGGCCAGGTGTTGCTGGTTATAACTTTGGGTAGTGTGGGCAGCATATAAATTAAATAAATAAACAAGCAAACATGGGTGTCACTTATTAAGCTAAAGGTAATTCTGTAATTTCTACTTACATTACTTGCTATCCAGAAAATAACTAGTTAGAGGTAACTATGTTACCTACAACTAACTACCTCCAAGCTGTGCGCAGACTAATGCTCTTGAGGATGACTTTTCTTCCGTCTACAGCCAGTCCTCTTCCTGCTCCCTAGTATCTTAGATAGAATTCCTCTACTAAGCATACTTTTCTTGTTTTTCCTAACCCAGTTTCTTTTGGGATGACTCCCATAACTGGAATACAGAAATTGAAGGATAGGGATTGTTCAGAAAGAACAGAAATGGAGGTGGAGTTGCACTGTATGTTCCTACGCAGAAATACAAGAAGAAGAGATTGGCTGTCCTATTAAGACCATTTGGATCAATGTATTCGGGGTGAAAAACAAAAGGAGCACGGTAGCTGGAGTGTGCTACCAACCGACTGATCAAGGAGAGGATGCAGATGAAACTTTTGAAAAACAAGCTGCAAGCATTTCAAAAAGACACAGTGTAGCAGTGATGGGAGATTTCAATTATCCTGATATCTCTTGGGAGGCAAATTCTGCCAAGTATGGCCCTTCCAATAAATTCTTGGCTTGGGTGGTGGATAATTTTCTCCTACAAAAAGTGTATTAAGAAACTAGAGGACTAGTTATCCTTGACTTGATTATAACCAACAGAGACGACTTGGTGGATGAAGTGGTGGTCGACCAGACCAGATGGGTGGGATATAAATCAAATCAAATCAAATCAAATCAATCAATCAATAAGTGGCAGTAAGGAGAACTTTGGGCGAGACTGGCCATGTTCTACTAGAATTCTTGATTTCAAAGGAAACCAAAGCAGGGTCTAGCCACACATATATGCTATATTTTTTAAAAATCCTGTTTTAATAAACATTTATTTATTTTATTTTTATTTTATTTATATCCTGCCTATCTAGCCACTTAAGACCACTTAGGAGAACGATAAGTAAGGTCCCATGGCAGGAGATCCTAACAAGAAAAAGAGTCCAAGAAGAGTGGGAGTTTCTTAAAAAGGACATTTTAAAGGCACAACTAACAATTCCAACAAGGAAAAAAAAGATGGGAGACAGCAAAAAGGCCAGTGTGGCTTCATAAAAAGCTCGGAGAGGACCTGAAAACAAACAAAAAAAAGGATACGTATAGGAAGTGGAAAGAAGTTCAGGCCACAAAGGAAAAGTACAGACAAGTAGCATAAAATTGAAGATATGACAATAGCAAGGTAAAAGTGGAGAATGAGCACAGGTTAGCTAGAGATTCTAAAAACAAAAACAAAAAAACATTCTTCATGTATCTGGAAGTTGAGTCATGGCAATTGGACTTCTTTCTTGTTAGGCTGAAACATTTCACTACTCATCCAGGTAGCTTCTTCAGTGTGAGGAGAGTTGACAGGAAATCCCTGATAATTCCTCCACCTTGGTTTCACTTCTTCTGGTCTGAATAGGCTCCTTAGAAGGACAAAGAACTAGGAGTGAGTGAAAATCCCACTTCTGCAGTCCTTTTCCGCTCACTGTCAGACAAGTAGCATAGACTGAGAATCTTCACAGACATTCTTCAGGTATGTGCGTAGCAAAAGACAGAAAAGAAACAGTGGCTCAGCTACTCAATGGAGATGGAAAATGATAACATATGACAAAGAAAAGACAGAAGTGCTCAATTCCTATTTTAGCTCTTTCTTTCCCCAAAGGACAGATTATGACCTTCCAGACAAATGTGAAGTGCAAGTGAATCTGGAGATGGATAAACAAATAGTCAAGGAATACCTGATTACCTTGAAGAAGTTCAAATCTGCATGGCCCAATGAACAGCATGCAAGAATATTGAAAGCTGAAGAACTCTCAGAATCATTGTCTTATTATGTTTTTTGGAAATCATGGGAAATGGGTGAGGTGTCAGAAGATGGGAGGAGGGATAATGTTGTCCGTATTTCCAAAAAGGGCAAAAGGGAGGAACCTGAGAACTACAGACCAGTCAGTCTGACATTAATCCCACATTATAAAGCAGTCACTACACAAGCACCTAAAAGACAATGCAGTAATAACTAGAAGCCAACATGAATTTGTCAAGAACAAATCCTGCCAAACTAATTTGATCTCATTTTTTGAACAGGTCATCTTAGATGTAGTATATCATGATTTCAGCAAAGCTTTTGACAAAGTGCCCCATGGTATTCTGATTAGCAAGGTAACTAAGTGGGGGCTGGATAGAACAACTGTCAGTTGGATACGCAGTTGGTTATAGAATCATACTCAGGGGGTGATGATTAATGGCTACTTCTCAAAGTGGGAGGGGGTAACAAGTGGGGTAACCTCAGGACTCAGTCCTGGGCTCTGTGCTCTTAAACATTTTTATTAATGACCTGGATCAGTGAGTGCTAAGAATGCTAATCAAATTTGCAGATGACACAACATTGGATGGAAGAACCAATACTCTGGAAGACAGAAACAAAATTCAAAATGATCTGGATAGGCTTGAGCAGTGAGCTGAAAACAACAGAATGAAACTTAGCAGGGGTAAGTGCAAAGTACTGCACTAAGGAAAAAGAAACCAAACACACAGTTACAGGATGGGGGGATAGCTGGCTCAGTAATACTACAAGCAAAAAGGATCTTGGAGTTGTTGTAAATCACAAGCTGGATATGATCCAACAGTGTGATGTGGCTACAAAAAAAAAGGCTAATACTATTTTAGAGCGCATTAACAGAAGTATAGTCTCCAAATCGCATGAGGTACTAGTTCCTCTCTATTCAGCATTGGTTAGGCCTCATCATGAGTATTGTGTCCAGTTCTGGACACCACACTTCAAGAAGGACATTGACAAACTGGAACAAGTTCAGAGGAGAGCAACAAGGATAATCAGCAGCCTGGAGACCAAGCCCTATGAGAAAAAACTGAAAGTACTGGGCATGTTTAGCCTCGAGAAAAGAAGATTGAGGGGAGGTATGATAGCACTTTTAAATACTTGAAAGGTAGTCAGTCATACAAAGGAGAGGCAGGATCTGTTCTCATTCATTCCAGACAGAGTGCAGGACATCTAATAATGGGCTCAAGCCACAGAAACCAGATTTAGGCTGAACATCTGGGAAAACCTCTCAACTGTTAGAGCAGTATGACGATGGAACCAATTACTATGGGAGGTAGTGAGCGCTCCAATGCTGAAGGCACTCAAGAGAAAATTGGACAACCACCTGTCAGATCTGGTTTGATATGGATTCCTGCATTGAGCAGGAATAGGCCCCTTATAGGCCCCTTCCAACTTCATGATTCTATGAATTTGCTTCCCATAACGCTACATATTATGAGTAAAAAGGGGAAAAACTCCATTTAGGAATGTCACTTTCGAGTATCATTTTTCTGAAACTCGTGTGCTGCATAACTGATGGATAAGAAAGCAAGTCATGCTGATGCATCTCCCTCTTTCACATCCCCTTCACTGCATAGTTCATACACATACACTTCAAATTATGCAGGAGAAAACCCATAAAAGCCACTCACTCGTGTTGACTACACCATTTTGTATCTGTTGGATTTCTGCTGATGCTCTCATTTTTTATTTCTTTGTCATCTATCTTCCAAACCACCTCCATTTTTTCCATTTTCATAGCAGAATTAATAACCAGACTACACATAAGTTCAAGTCTCGTTGGCTTTTCAAGTATGACATTTTTTGTTACTGAAGCTTCTGTTGGAAATAGTTAAAAGAAAATTGATTAAATTAATGTAACTCTCAATGTGAAAACTCAAACATTCTATGGCTTCTCCTTTCAAAAGAAGCTAGTACTGATGAAACTGACTTGATCGATCTCCAATTTTTTTTAAAAAAAGTATTAAAATATTTTAAAAAGCACATAAACCTAAAAACATTTTTTGCATTGCATCACCTTATTTCAAGTAAGCACTGAAATACATTTCTCTTAGACATTATACTCCACCCATACCACCTTCACCTTTTGATGTTCTTACATTTCATTTCATCCCACTCCTCTCCCTTCGCTTTCCGAAATACATATTCCAGAAATAAATTCTATATATTAAAGAAATCATTACTTTTTTATAATCCTCTTCCTAAATTAATTTCACATCCTAATTTCTCATTAATTGCCATATCCCACATTTCTCAGCACTATTCTTCAATATTAATTTGGCTATCACATTTCCAATTCTTTGCAAATAATAACCTTGTAACTATAGCCCTTATAATAATGAGGTCCTTCTCTCTTCAATTGATTATCATTAACCATATTCAATAAGGCAGTCAACTGAGACATTTGAATATCTAATCCAGTTCCCTAATTTCTTTAAAAACTTGCCTTCATTCTTTCCTCCTTATTTCAAATAACCACATGCGTAAGCATGTCCCTTTTTCTTTTTTGCACCTCCAACACAGAGATGATAGGTTCTTGTTTAATACATTAATCTTTAGCGGTGTTAAATACCATCTCCACACTACCTTATAACAATTTTCTTTAACCCTTACAGACATATTCTTCGTGATTCTTTTGTTCCATATTGTACTCCAATAATCTCCTATGATTTCATTTGCCAGATCTTCTTGCCATTAATCTTTTAACCCTCTTGTATTTATATATAATTTACATATTTCACATCATTTCTTTTTTAGACTGCTTCTGATTTTAATCTTTTTTCAATAATCATTTCAAATGTTGTCATTTGTCTACCTTCTCCTTTCTTGCTTTTCCATACCGTTGTCCATCTTTCTATTTGAAATATATTTAATCAAGAAATCCCCTTCACCCCTCCTTTTTTATACTAACTCTCCAATCAATCCTTTATCTTATTTAACTCCTTATCCTTTAGTACATTTTAAAATATCTTTTAAAGATTTTCTGGAAAATTCATTAGCTCCACCACCTGGGTAAAGATGCAAATTGGTGGACTCAGTCCTCCTCTATAGTTTTTCCAACTTTCTAATGTATTTTTAAAGAAAGGGTTGGCAATCTTCTTAATCTCTTCTCAAATCTTTTCTTTAAATGGAATACACTCTAAATTCTCCTTTCCATACATTTCTATATCTTTCCATATTAAATTTGTACTATTTATTATAATGTCCAGAATATGTCCAAGTTGATGTACTATATAACATCTTTTAATTTTGAGTATAATGAGACCTCCTTCTTTTTGTGGTATATACCAGTGCCTCCTGTCAATCCTTGCTTGCTTATTGCCATTAAAATGTCTTTATCATACTCTATCATTTTTTCAGATCTATTTCAGTGATCTTTATCGGAAGCATCCAAAATAAGAAATTGAATTTAGGAATAATTTCCATTTCATATAATGCTACCCTGCCAAATAAAGAAATCTTTTAACTTCTGATAGTCTTTTATCTGTTCACGTATCTCCCTTTTCAACCTATCCAAATCTCTTTTAACTATATCTTGTAAATTCCACGTGATGTTTATCCCTAAATATTTAATTACACTTTGCAATCTTGCTTCAAATAGGTTTCATTTTCACCTTCTCATCTTCAGAATAATTCAACAGCAAACACTCTAACTTATCCCAGTTTACTTTCAATCCTATTATTTCCTCAACTACTCTCAAATGTGCTCTGATTAGCTCTGTTAGGTTCTTAATTATTAATAGTGTGTCATCAGTGAACAAATTTATCTTTATTTTATTTCTGTGCCTTTATTTGTTTATAATTTCTATCTGTGCTAACAATTCTATTATCAGTGTAAATAACTGATCCCTTGTCTCATTCCTTAGCCTAGGGTTACTGATTCAGTTATTCCATCATTTGCTATACCTCTAGTTGTGTTCTGTGAATATAACTGTGGGATTTTCCTGCCTAAAGTGATTACCAAACCCTACGTATTTGATCAACAACTTTAATGTGTCTCGTTTTGACAACAAGGTGCCATTATAAGTCTTTCAATAATACAGAGGTTACTCAGAAAATGATGAAATCAGAGCTCGGCTGTGTTAAGTGACACAGGTCTTCTTCCCCGTAAGATTTGTGGTTTCTGTCTGACAAAAAGAAAACCCCTGCAACTTCTCAACATGACACAAAAGAGGAATAGAGCTACCTGATTAGACCAAAAGAGGAAACTAGACAAACCGGTTTAGAAAAGATATTCTCTGGCCGTGACCCAGACAGGGGAAGAGAAAAACCAGAGGTCTGGGAGCTGATATCAAATCAACGTTTTCTCTGCAGAAAGCAGAATGCTCCTGAGCTTTTCCACGGCACAGCTACCTGTAGGCAGTACTTTCTAACTGGGGGCTAGTCTTAAATAAACGGTAAAAGATAATTTGCATACCCATCTGACATAAAACATTCTCCTATGACCAAAGATTAAATATCAGTATCAAGACTGAAATGAACAAAAACCTCCCTTAGCTATTTGACCTTTAATGATATACTTTGAAATTTACCTCTGTAATTGCTTTATGCCTTGACACCTAACCGATAACAGCTAGACATTTGCTGTTTTTTTTTAAAGAATTCATTAAACTAATGTTCATAATGAAGAAGAAACACATACCATTTATGGTAATATTCTCCCTCATGTAGGGAAATGAAGTCACAGCTGAGTTGACACCTTGCATACTGGTAGGTGGTACTGTTAAACAGAAAAATTGAGACTAGATTAATTTCCACAACAATTTGATATAGCATGCATATAAAAACGTACATACTAGAGATGGGCACAAAATGCTGGTTCGGCCATCAGCCTAACAGGTGTTCTGTAGTTCCGAGCCCCACCTCCTCTGGCAGGCGCCTACTCAGATGCAGCATCCATAGGAGGCGGGGCAAGAAAGCTGGAGTGCTGCCTCTGAGTAGGTGCCCACTGGAAGAGGTGGGGCTCAGAACTGCAGAACACCTGTTGGGCCAATGATCAAAGCAGCATGAACCACCATTTCATGTCCATCTCTACATACTCCCCTACTTGTCATAGGTGGCAAGTGAATGAGGCAGCCACCTCCTTTATGGAGATGGGGTGGTAATATGTATGTATAAGACACTTTTTTCCTAAAATCATCACTAAAATTGAGGGGCAATAGCTGAGAAGACACTACTTTTTTCCTAAAATGATTACTAAAAATGGAGGGGCAATAGCTGAGGAGATAGCTTAGGAGAGAACAAAACAGCACATACCTTGCCTCTGTAAACAGGCCTCCTCCAATCACGAGGCTTAGCTTCCTCCAATCACGAGTGTTTTTTATTTATTTATTTATTTGATTTCTATCCCGCCCATCTGGTCTATACGACCACTCTATATGGAACTGACGTCAGCTGATGCTGAACAAACCAATTGGAACACACCTCGTTGGAGGTGGAGCATGTAGGCTCAGATTTAACAGGGACTCGTAATATCTGATGTTCTGAGCCCAGAGGCTGAATACTCAAAGCTACGTTTTCTTAATTTGTGGGTTAGAAAAAGGGGGGGGGAGACTTATAAACAGGGGAATGTTATAAAAGGAAAAACATGGTACTTAAATTATTTCACCTGTTTGCTCTAGTTGTATCTCACTTGAGATCCTGCAACACAGGGCAGGATGTAAATATTCCACATAAATAAAAACACTTTACTAAGATGAAGTTGTAATTGAAAATACATCTCATGTTTGCTTCCACCCTCACAACATAGATTTCAAGCCAGCCCAGGAAAATAAAAATGGGAGGAACACAACAACCCCCCTGGGGGTTTGTTTAAATGTTACAAGACCTACAAGGTGCTGAACTTATTAGGAGAATAGGCTTAGCACCCTGGATTGCTCTTGAGAAGTTCAGACTAAAATCATGAAGTTGACCTTAAGAGTCACCTTCCTTTTCCATTAGGTCTGGTGACTTCCTGGTGTTTAATCAGTGGCTGTTATGCTGTTTCCCATCATGGATATACTGCTAGCACATCTACATTTTGCCTTTAACACATACATCTGTATATATGTTTACATTTTTCCTCTTGAGAGGAACCCCTAACTGTAAAATGTGGGGGACGAATGCCCAGATGGCAGCAATTGAGGCCAGATGCCACTTGTCATTATCCACATGTTCAATGAATGTATGGAGGAACCAGTCATATCTGAAGAGATCCATTTCTGTGTGGCAAATGATGATACCCAAGCTCAAATCTACATCCAGCTGTCATCCTCACTGCTCTTGGAATGCAACTCCACTACATAATCACAATGGTTTCAAATTGCTTTAATGGCCATAACTCCATTCTGTGGAATATTCACAATTTGTAGTTTGGTGAGGTATTGAGAACTCTGTGCTCCAGCACAAAATTCAAAGTACTTCACCAGTATTGCAAAGACCAGAATTCTATAAAATGGTGCCATGAGTGGTATCAAACTGCTCTATGTGTGTACAGTAGACATACTCCTAGTAGAAACCACCTCACATAATTGTTATGAGGAAAATACAAGCAGTGGGGGCAAACATATTACACAGAAGCATGGTGGGCTCTTTCCCGCTTCCTGCCTGCTTGTGTTTCCTTCTCCCAAACTGGTTCCTTATGTGAAAAAGGCTGCAACATGCTATATGCAATACTCAGTTACCCACATGTTTTATTTGGCTTTGTATGCACATTATCATAGTTAGAAGGCATTGCAAAGAAGATTTTGTTCCTGTGACAATTTATTTAATTAATTCATTTATATATTTCGTTTCATTTGTATCCTCTCTCTCTCAGTGCACTGACCCAAGGTGGTTCGTAACACATAACGGACGATTACATCTGCCAGCATAAGTGCAATGGTGTAAATTTCCAGTTGTAAATTGCCATCAACAAAGCAGACACTGTTTACCTTTCGCACTAAACACCACTGTCACACAACTGGAACACAACAGAAAATACGAGCATGGTCTCCTTAAAAAATGGCAGTTCACCACTGCAGTTTATGCTGCTGAACTTTACAGTGACATGTATAACGAATGGAATTTTGGACAAGTTATACCACTAAAACATTAAAGGATGGTTGATTTAATTTGCTTTAAAATGCATCAGAAAGCAATAAAAACTGCAGTATTCCCTATTACCTCAACAGCCTATTCAGTTGCCAAAAGCCTGCCTACGTAAAATGAAAACATAATTTAGTTGTTGTGGATTTTTTGGGCTCTTTGACCATGTTCCAAAGGTTGTTCTTCCTAATGTTTTGCCAGTTTCTGTGGCTGGCATCTTCAGAGGACAGGAGTCAGAACTCTGTCTGTGCACTGTGATTGATGGGTGTCATTAGCTGGTCTTTTGTGTGCAGTGATCTTGCAGGGGAAACTGCTTCTTTTAAGATTGATTTTTGAATACTGTGTGGATTGTTGTCTTTAAAAGCTCCTCCTTTCCTGTAGATGAAATTTAAATGCGGGACAGCATAGAGGACAAATTCTTTTAGGCAAGGGTTTAAAGGCCATTGTTTGTTGGAAACCTTGGCCGATGGTTTCACAAGGGGAAGAGGAACCCAATTGAGCTTCAAAGGTGCCCAATGGGTTGAAGAAAAGAGCTTCTGAACTTCAGAGGCACCCTGCCTGCTCCACAGCAAAGCGGCCATTTCCTGTTTCTTCACCACAGCCAATGAGATCCTTCCAAAACTTTCACAAACAGCTCTGAAAGAAACAGTTCCGTTTCATGGCAGGAAACCGGTTCAGGAAGCCTTTCTATGCTGAGAAGCCTTTCTATGCTGAGAAGGAAACATCTGAACGTTTCCTAAGTGTCACGCAGGGCTCGGTTACACGACAGGCAAAAACAACACCTTCAGCTCTCCTTGCACTTGATCACTTCTGTGAAATTGCTGAAGACTCAAAATGGGACCAAAGGACAAAGCCTGTGGACTAACATATTGGCAATTGAAAAGGATGTGTTTCATCCCAAGAGAGAGCTCAGAATTGTGGAACATTTTCATTTGCTTCAGCAGTGGATTCCAAACTTGGTTCCCCAGATGTTCTTGGGCTAAAATTCCCAGAAGCCTTCACCACTAGCTGCGCTGGCCAGGATTTCTGGGATTCTTGGCAGTTGCAATCCAAGAACTTCTGAATCAGGAACCGAAGGCGAGGAACCGTGGTGCTAGCGTATATTTATGTATACGTATGCAAATTAAGAAACCAAAGCTGTAATTCAAAAAGAAGTATAATGCATCTCTCCAAAGTGAGGAAGAGGATGACCAAAAAATATACAGCCTAAAAATTATTAAGCCCATCAATACTTGAAAACTGTGATAATACTGTTGAGTATATAGTTACTCCTAAGTTGTGTAACTGTAAAAGATAGTAATAACAAACCATTATGCTACTGTTATTGGCAATATCATTTAATTAAAACAAACAACAACAATAATAATTCATAGTGGTTTATGTATCTGGCTGTGGAACCGAAGGCTGGCAGTTAAATTCCCCACTGTGCCTCCTTGACAGGGCCTGGACTCAAAGATCCATAGGGTCCCTTCCACCTCTGCAGTTCTAAGATTATTATTATAATTCTGTGTTAATAAAAATCCTGAGTCTTACCAGTGGTACACATACTGCTGCTTGCAAACCACTGAAATAGAGGCTGCTTCCAAACTGAGGATACTCCTCTAAAAAGTAGGATACATTTTTGTTCTCATGTATCTAGAGCATATAAAGCAGCTATGTAAGACTCACACAAATCTTCTGCTTACTGTGTTCTCCAAACCATTTAAGGAACCCTCCATACCCTCTCAATATTTTTGGCACAAGGAAGACAGTGGGAGAAGCAAAGCATGTGATGGCCTAAAGGCCTCCAAGCCATTGAGTTTCCAAGTCATACATCTTGTTTTTCTACATTTAATTTTTTAATTTTTTTAAATATACTCCTCTAAAAAGTAGGATACATTTTTGTTCTCGTGTATCTAGAGCATATAAAGCAGCTATGTAAGACTCACACAAATCTGCCGCTTACTGTGTTCTCCAAACCATCTAAGGAACCCTCCATACCCTCTCAATTATTATTTTTTTGGGCACAAGGAAGACAGAGGGAGAAGCAAAGCAGTCTGGTTCATTCCTTGAGGGCATGTGGTGGCCTAGAGGCCTCCAAGCCAATGAGTTTCCAAGTCATACATCTTGCTTTTCTCCATTTTCTTTTTTTAAATTTTTTTAAATTAACTAAAACATAAAATACACAAACCAAAATACACAAACCAAAATACACAATAAAATACACAAACCAAAATACAATTTAACTGTATTTAACTTCCCCACCACCATAGATGGGACCTCTTGCAATAATCTTCTTCTTCCTCCATCTATATTCTTCCTCTCCTTTTATTGTTCTCTTCTCCAGAACTGCATTGATTCTTGATTTGGAGCTTTCCCCTTTTCTCTTATTAGTACATATTTCATGAATCTGCCCCACAATTCATAAAAAATATTCTTTTTCAACTCTCCTTTCTTATCCTTTAGCTCACTGGTTCTTAACCTTGAGTTACTCAGGAGTTTTGGACTGCAATTCCCAGAAGCCTTCACCACCAACTGTCCTGGCTGGGGTTTCTGGGAGTTGCAGTTCAAAAGCATCCAAGTAACAAAGGTTAAGAACCACCGCTTTAGCTTACAAGTTAATTTATCAATTATGGCTATATTCCATATTTCATTATACCATTCATCCATTTGAAATTCAGATTTTGATTTCCATTGCATAGC